AAAAAAAAAAAAAAAAAAAAGAAAATTTAACAGTGATTGTATGAATAAAACTATAGAACTTTTTAAAGGCAATAATACAGTGATTCTTTTATTAGTTTTATAAGGAGAAAGGTCTAATTTTAATGTATGAATATGACTTCAAACTGAAGTTGTGTTTAGTCTATCAATGTTATAGAGCCATAGTTTATTTTCATGGCATTCTTGCTAATTGGCAACCAACCTTTCTCTAGCTCCCCAAAGAGATATTAAATGTATAGAAGACAGATTTAGTCTCTGTCTTTAAGGAATTAATCATGTGAAAGGACGCAATATACCTCCTGTCTTACAGAGTTAAAAACTTAAAAAAACAAAATAGAGGGAAGAAATAGGACGGATGCGAATCAAAGTCTCACTCTGTTTCCCTGGGTAGAGTTCCATTGCATCATCTTTGCTCACAGCAACCTCAAACTTTTGGGCTCAAGCAGTCCTCTTGCCTCAGCCTCCCAACTAGCTGGGACTATAAGCGCTGCTATGACACCTGGCTAGTTTTTCTATTTTTAGTAGACAAGGTGTCTCGCTCTTGCTCAGGCTGGTCTTAGACTCCAGAGCTCAGGCAATCCACCCACCTCGGCCTCCCAGAGTGCTGGGATTATAGGCATGAGCTCCCATGATACAGCTGTGCTTCCTCTTTTTCAGAAGCATCTTTCCATTTATCATTTAACTGTATATTCACAGCAGCCTATTCTGATAGATAGAATAATGAATATTATTCCCATTTCAATTTCTAAAAGAGCACTGTATTGGAACTAAAAATCTAAAAGTTCATTGAAGTTTATAAGAGAACAATGTTCCTAGCACCCAAAATAATGGAGAATAGTAATTAATAGTGGTCATATTTTGTTGCTGGTTATTTTATTTTATAAAGAGAAGATAAGAATGAAAGTCTTAAGTATCCTTGGTTTAGAGGAGGAGGATCTTTTAGTCTTTAAAGATATTTAAGTATTCACCATTAAGAATTAAAGAAGAGGCACATGTTTTAGTTCTGAGTATGAAGTCCTATACCAAATGCTTTAAGTTAATAACACAAAGCGTATGTAGATTTAGGAGACATTATCCTGAGGTTGACAAGTATTTCTATTCAGTTATTGGTCATTGACTGTCTATAACTAACATTTAATATGATTGATTAGACTAACATATCAACTTTTAGATTCTGAACTAAGTGATTGATAACATTATGTTTCATGGGATTAAAATAGATGCTCTCCAAGAGCCTTTCTAGCTCCCACATTTTATCTTTGAAGTTTCGTGAATAGTAACATTGGTTTATATACTGTCTCTCTTTATCCAGATCTCCCTTACTAACTCCCTCTCACAGCTTCATCACAACTAAAAATTCTTGTTCTGAATGCTGCTGGCCTAGAATAGGAAAAGCTGTAGTTTTATATCTGTCTGTGGCTATAAATCTATTAGTTCTTAGAAGTGAGAATCTTACATTAAACCTTTTCTTTTCATTATCCATTTATTTGCCCTCCCACAAGTATTTTTTTTCCCCCTGTCATCCTTCTTTTCTCCACCCTAAGTGCAAGTTCTCCTGTCCTAGTTCACAATCAGCAGAGCTAGGACTAGAGTCTAAGCAGCCTGAAGTGAACGTTTGGTTCGTGTTTTCTGAGTTAAGGAGTGTTTGGAGCTTTCTGACTTGCTGAATTTGTCTGAGTGAGCAAATTCTCTGAATGAGGCCTGTGGAATGACAGAGTCTCTCTTGAGTTCCAGAAATGACTCTTCCCAAGAAGAAATAGGGCCCTAAATCATCAGGGAGGGACCAACAGACAATCTCACTGATTTGATTGACCCTGAAATCCCAGAATAGAGGTGAAACTAAAAACCCAAAATATTTTGTTTTAAAAATAGTGTATATTTTGGATATTTCGGTTTGAAAATTATATGCTATTACACAGAGTTTTTAAATTTGATGCATTTTGGAGTTGATGTTTTGCCATTTGATTCTTTCTCCAAGTTGGTAGCCTTTGAAGTAGAGAGAATTAAAGTTGAAGAAAATAATCCACTGAAGATGATAAAGCATATCAGAGAACTTGCTGAACAACTATTCAAAAATGTAAGTGTATTTATTTAGACAGTCATTAATTTTAAGAATATAGTATTAATAAAGTGTTTTATTTACAAAATTAAGAAGCTTCTTCTTTCTACTGATAATATTTTTGGTCTGGATTATAAATGATAAGACATTGTAGTTGATACTGTATGTCAAGCTAAATCACATTTTTCAAAGTAATTCTCCTGTCAGTCACAGTATTATGAAAGCATCTTAGTCATAATTGTCCAGTTCATCATTTCCCTATCACTGTATTATGAAAAACAGTCACAATTTTTTAATTATTGCCTCTCACTGTGATTTTCATTTGGATCTCTTTTGTGAGACAAAGTTTAGACTCATTGGAGACCAGAACCACCTCAGATGGAATTGACTAACATATTCTACTTCAGTCTGGTACAGTTATTGTCAGCTAGGTCAGGAAGATTGTGTGAGTTGTGTTGTTTTAAATAGACAGAGAGTGAAAAGCTGAGAGGAAGCATATTGGCAAGTGACCACAGAAACATAAGGGTGAAAATATTCCATGGATAGAGGGAATGCAGTAAGGGAAAAGGATTAGGATGTGATAAAGTATGAAATAACTATTTCTGTACCAGATAGAGACGCATGATGACAGGGAGATTATGTGCATGTGGAAAATGGGTTTTGGTTAATGAGTGCTGGTCGTCTCTCCTTCTTATCCCTAAATACGTCACATTTTAAAATCATAACATATTAGTTTAACAAAGGTATAAATAAATTATTTTCTTGGCAGTTCCATCCCAGGACCTATTTCTTGCATTTATTGACTGACCACATGTTTAGTTATTTATAAATATGCCCAATATAATAAACGTATTTCTTGATTGCTGACACTTAAAAGGAATTCTGTTAGAAGAAATACTTGTGTTGTGCGGTGATCTTTGCCACATATAATAGCAGTATGGAAATAATGTACAGCATGATCCCATGAGAACTTCTGTTGACCTATTGCAATAGTAATGATAAATACTGTGTTTAGCACAGTATGCCAGACATGGGACTACATACTTTACATGAATTACCTCTAATCCTCTTGAGATAGGCATCATTGTCCCATTTTATTGGGTATGATTGGCTCAGGATCATATGGTTATTAAGTGATAGAATTCTGATTTTAAATCCAGGAATTTTCAGCTATCTAATTCCTAAGCCTGTGCTCTTTTTCACTGTAAGTCTGGTTTGTCTCTAATTGGAAAAAAATAGTGATGTTTCCAATAGTCAACTTTTATACTTTGTTCTTTATGGGTACTTAAATATTAGGGTGTCCAAAAGGACATTTGCAATGAAACTAGTTTTACATTGTAAATTGCACACCTAATTATGGACACCCACATACTCTGTATGTGGTACTTTCTCATTTGACTTTGGAAATGTTCTGTGAGCAGGGGTTAAGTGAGAAAACTGGAGATTGGAAAGTTTTTTCTTGCCTTAGTGGAAATGATTTATTGATGGACTTCAAAAAATAGCAAAATGTCAAGTGGGAATCGGTTCAATAAAATCAGTCAAACAGGACTGATCCCTTTAATATCTGAATATTTATTTCTTAGGTCTCTATAAGACTATTCCAGAGCTGTAAAATTTTATAGCCAGTAAGTGACAAGAGTTGGGATTTTGACACAAGTTTCTCTCTGTTACATGACCGAGTGTGCAGTGTATGCAAGGGACTCTGCCAAGCTGCTTTAAAGCAGACAAAAATAAACAATTTCTTCCTTGACATCCTAGAACTTAAAGTTTATGATTCATAGTTTACACTAAGCCAACACTGAACTGAAAACTGCAATAAAATGAATATCTAGTAATTACACATTCTAAAAGGTGAATGTAAAACACAGTCTACTTCTTTTAAAAGTGACGTGTTTAAAGTGATTGTCACGAGGTGCTGTGTTACTGTGTAAGAGAATGACTGACCCAGTGGTATGAGCCTTCAAATGTATTCTACATTCTTGAACCCTTATTGGGCTTCTGTTTCACAATCAATTAGATTCCATTTAATTTAATACATTCCCTCCCTTAACAATGTAATTACCAGGCACTTTCCATATATATAATTCTCCTAATACCCTTCAGAAGGGGACATAGGTACATAATGACTAAGAATTTTGAGACAATCCCAGTGGATTGTCATCAAACTTTCTGAGATTCCTTCTAAGATTCTGGAGTCTGTGATGATCCCTACATTGTAAACACTTTACAAAATTAAAAGGCTGAACATGATGATAAAGTTATTTTCTTGGGTCATGCAGGAAATTAGAGGATGGATGGTGTCAGTGCAAGGAAAATAATCCACATGGTTCTATTTTTAACTAGTCACCTTTAAAAAAAAAATGACACTTTTAAAATTTCCTTTTGGTAAGAATCAGCTATATAATTTGACTATTTCCTTATTGGGTTAGAACTGAGACTTGGTGAATCCGTTCAGATATTTGTAAATATTTTATTGCACTGAAGTCTGGTAGCTTTGAAGTATTTCAAAAACATACCTTAGATTTCTAGTTTCTCCTTACCATTCCTTTATATTGCTTTTTAGTAGGGTTTTAGGAATGTGAGTAGGATTCATTGTAACTAATTTAGCTGTTTTTTTAGCTTTCTGGAGCTTCCTGCATGATTAAGAAAAGCATTTGGTGACTTTGCTGGAATAGGTAGGTGGAATGAAAGAGAAGAAAATGAACTTAAAAATAAATTATGTAGTCCGGGCACAATGGCTCACACCTGTAATCCTAGCACCCTGGAAGGCTGAGATGGGAAGATTGCTTGAGCTCTGGCTTTTGAGACCACCCTGAGCAGGAGCAAGACCCAGTCTCTACTAAGAATAGAAAAATTAGCTGGCTGTTGTGGCACATGCCTGTAGTCCCAGCTACTTGGTAGGCTGAGGGAGGAAGATCACTTGAACCAAGAATTTGAGGTTGCTGTGAGCTAGCACTCTATCCCCAGCAACAGAGTGAGACTTTGTCCAGGAAAAAAAAAAAATTGAAGGTTTATGCCATGAAGATTATTAGCAACGTGTTGGTACAGCTTTTCTTGCCATGCTCTATCAATAATGCAGTGGTCGGCCCACTTTGGCTTCTGAATCTTCATTGTCTGCATGAGAGGACATTTAGCTACTTAGCCATCCTCTCCCTATGTTTCTTGATATATGCTTGCAAAAGACCAGTGACTGCCCATGAAATGAGAACATGAAGATAGGCCAAGATACAAGAACTTGATAAAAACTTCATTGCAGGGCATTAAGACGTCAGTTAGACATACGTTTTACTGTTTTGCATAGTATAATTTTTCTAATTTGTCTTGCATCTGCAACAGTACATAAATATTTGCTGGACTATGTAATTCATCTGGCAGTTTTTGTTCTTTTATATTAGAAGTGGGATCTCACTATGTTGCCAGGCTGGAGTGCAATGGCTATTCACAGGTGCTGTCATAGTCCACTACACCCTTGAACTTTTGGGCTTAAGCAATCTTCCTGCCTCAGCCTCCTTCTAAGTTAGGGTGACCAGACGCCCTGATTTTGGCGGGACAGTCCCGCTTTTCAACAATTTGCCCCGCGTCCTGCGGCGTTTTAAAAAAGTCCTGATTTTTGGAAAGAATGCACGAACAGGCTGGAGAACAAAATGGGAATATACGGTTTTCGGCCGCCATATGGCTATTTCGCCAGAATATGAGTTTTATATTATTTTTGTTAATTTTATAATGTTAAACTGTAATAAATAATTGCTGAGAAGTGATTATCATCTAACAGTTGAATTTAAAGGTTAAAGGGGGAAAATTAGATTTTCATATAAAAGATGAGACTTAAGGGGTGGCGCCTGTGGCTCAAAGCAGTAGGGCGCTGGCCCCATATGCCGGAGATGGTGGGTTCAAACCTGGCCCTGGCCAAAAACTGCAAAAAAAAAAAAAAGATGAGATTTCAAATTGTGCCATATGGACATTTCATTGCCTAGCATTGAACCAAATAGATGTTAAAATCCTAATGGAGGAAAAAAGCTCAAATATAGGAATAGCCATTATATTGATAATATAAGATCAATAGCCTTTACAGTTCTGCAAAACTTAATTTCACTACCAGGTAAATTTGTTTTTTTCTTTTGAGACAGAATCTCACTCTGTTGCTCTGGGTAGAGTACTGTGGCATAATTGTAGCTCACAGCAACCAGAAACTCTTGGGCTCAAATGATCCTCCTGCCTCAGCCTCCCAGGTAGCTGGGACTATAGGTACACACCACCATACCAGGCTAGTTTTTCGATTTCTTTAGTAGAGACGGGGTGGGGGAGTGATCTTACTCTTGCTCAATACTCCTGAACTCAAGCAATCCTCCCGCCTCGTCCTCCCAGAGTACCAGGATCACAGGTGTGAGCCACTGCGTCCAGCTTCTACCAGACAAATTTAATCTATGCTGATGATAGGAATGGAAAAACAAGTGTCACATGTACTCAGTACTAAATTGAAACTAGTAGATTAACAACTACATGCTCACATGAGAGAACAACTCAATTAAATTCAAGTAGGGAGATGAAGAGGAAGGGTTGGGGAAGCTCCCACCCAACAGATTCATCGCATAGGTACATGGCACACTTCCTGGGTGAAGGACACAGCTACAGCTTGGACTTAAACCTTTCAAAAGCACACTGTATAAATTAATCATATATACCTTCATTTTAATATGAAATAAGAATCTATACTGAGGATATTTGTGCTATTTGCCAACTGTGAATAAAGGAATTTTGTTCATTTAGGGAAGGAAGTAAAATATTGTGATTATGACATGAAGCCCCTAACCCAAAGCATAGATTTATTTTTTTAATTTTATAATATTAATATTCATGTGTAAACTTTTTTCTCTGAACAGTTTTTATTAAATCATAACTGTATACATTAATGCATTTATGGGGTACAATGTGCTGATTTTATATACAATTTGGAATGCTTACATCAACCTGGTTAACATAGCCTTCACTTGACTGACTTAATTATTGTGTTAAGACGT